GTAATGTGGGATTGTTTTAAGGGATATTGTTGTAAGGGGGCATTGTTGAAGGCTGCATTGCTATAAGAGGGGTCCTATAAGTGGTTAATGCTATAAGGAGGTATTGCTCTGACATACCTGACCATGATGTTTTGGAGAGGGTTGTAGAAGGACTTTTGGAATTTGGGCTGGAAAGCCATTGAATATTCAGAGGCCAATGAACTATTCCTTGAAAGCTAGGGAAATAAGAATACTGAGAGAGATGTAGATGATGGAGGTCTGGTTTGTGAACTTTTAGAGGGAAGTTTAAAAACCCTCTCCAAATAATTTGCTATTTTTAATTAAGAATCAGAAAGAGGCATGAAAAAGAGACCATCACCATTTAAATGAAACCTTTGCTTTCCTAGAATGACTGATGCTGATCATTGGCAGAGAAAAAATAAAAAGTGTCTAAGAGATCAACATCACTGAGACAAGATCTTCTGAGGAAGTCTTTCCTCAGAGCCCACACAGAAAAGCTGTATCCCAGAGGCAATCAAGGCTGCTCCTCATGCTGGCAGCCAAACTTGGTAGTGTAAGAGTCACCCAGGTGGTGCTGATTTTGAAGGTGTGAAAAGGTCATAGACAATAGCTGAGTTCAGGAGAAGCCATTGGTGAAGATGCAGCCTCTGTTGCAGCCAAACGCTCAGGATTGAAGGAGTTATGGAAAGAAGGTGAAGCTTGACAGAAGTGGCATGGTCAGAGTCCCTGAAGAAAGTCCAAGACTATTAGTGAAGATTCAACCCAGTTGTAGTGGAGAGTTTGGCATCTTGGAGATGCCAATATCATGGGTCAACGACCAAGAACAGCAGCGGATGTAGAATGGAGCCAGCCTGAACCTAGGATGCAAGGCTGCCCAAACCCTTTGAAGGATCCCAGGAGACTGTGAATGAGTCCTGGAAGACTGACATTGACTTTATACTGTCGGAATTTGGTTTTGTCTTGTACAGATTGTGACTGTTCCTTCATTCTTCCCTTTTGGAATAAGAATGTATTTAACTTAATTGATTTTATAGGAGCCCACAGGTGAGACTTTGAGAATTTAGAGTTTTACAGAGACTGGATTTCTAGAGAAGTTTTGAATTCTAAAAGGAATCAGTTATTTTAAATAAGCTGAAGTTTTTTTTAAGTATTTGAATTTGTACATGTGGTGACATATTGTTTATGAACTAATAAAGCTTGCCTGGAGATCAGAGTACAAAGCTAGCCACAGCCATAGAGGCCAGGCAGTGATGGTATACACCTTTAATCCCTCCCAGCATTAGAGAGGTATAAAAGGCAGGAGCAGGGTCTCATGAAGAATTCAGTCTCTAGCCACTCTGAGGACAGAATCGCCCTAGCCTTGGTAGAGGTAAGAACTGTATAGTAGTTACTGATTTATTTATATGATCTTCAGCTTGAACCCCAATATCTGTCTCTGGGTTTATATTATTCATGCTACATGTAAAGACTACAGAATTTCAGTTATTTATGTTTTATATTGAAATATTAATATTAGCATCCCATCCTGGGGAAAAATGAGAAAAGAAAGGTTCTAGTTGAAAAGTGATGTGTTTGTACGTCAACTTGACAAATGGTCAATTGTCCTGGTTGGTTTTTATTTCAAGTTGACACAAGTGTGAGTCATTCAAGAGGAGGGAACTTCAATTGAAAATGAATGAATGAATGAATGAATGAATAAAATGCCTCTATAGGTATAGGCAAGCCTGTAGGGCATTTTCTTAATTAGTGATCCGTGCAGGGGAGCAGCCCATTGTGGACATTGCCAACCCTGGGCTACTGGTCTTGGGTGCTATAAGAAAGAAGATGAAGCAAGTCAAGAGGAGCGAGCCAGCAGGCAGCACTCCTCCATGGCCTCTGCACCTCTCATGCCTCCAGGTTCCTGCCTTGTTAGAGTTCCTGCCCTACCTTCTTTCAATGAAGAACTGCCATGTGGAGATGTGAGTGAAATAAACCCTTTCCTCCCCAAGTAGCTTTTGGTCACAGTGTTTCAACACAGCAATAGAAACCCTAACTAAGATGGTGCATTAATCAAGCTGCCTGGATATTGTTCTTATTCAGCAAGGAAGATGTTTCCTCTGAAATTGCATTCTTTCTCCATCCTCTCTGCCCTATTTCACTATTTCAGAGTTTCTGCTGAAAAAGCCCAGTTTGGACACATGGTGGCATAACCAGTCCTTGTGTGGTAGCCTCTTCTTTTGAGCTTGAATGCTCATATTAATATTATGATCAGGAGGTTGGGACAAATCACATGTCCCTCCAGGTTCAAACGGATTTGGGGTCAATGAAAGACAAAACATCCTCACTGGGACCAAAGTGAGGCAAATAAAACATCTTTATTCCTTCCACTGGACCCCGGAGTTTTCATTGTGCCTTTTCACACATACTATTACATAGTCCTAGAAAGTGTATGTGTGTGAGGTTCCCAACTGTAACCAAATGGAGAAGGAGAAGAAGAAGAAGAAGAAGAAGAAGAAGAAGAAGAAGAAGAAGAAGCCGCACACTTGGTAAAACTTGAGCCATTTCTTGAATGGAGCAGTTAGCAATAACAGCTTCGATTCTACAAACCATCTGTCATTAGGTACTTCAGGAAGGACTTACCCATTGGACATGATGACACCTCCAGCCCATTCACATGGTAGCCCGGGCTGGCATCTGTATTAGAGGCATCATACATTCCCAGAAGTTATGATTGACGAGTAGAAGGAGCAGGAAATCGCTGCAGGCAAAGATAGCTCCCTTTGCCCCCTTGGTGACAAGAGTAGTGGCTGCAGCAGAAGTAGGGAGGATGGGATGGATCATCCTGAGCTTGGAAAGTCCCTACATTTTTATCTATGTGCATGGTTGACAGTCTCCCCAGGGAATTCCCAGGCCCTGTCCTGTCAGGTGCTCCCATTTAAACCTTAATTGTCTTCTCCAGCACTGAGTTGGAGAAGACATTAATCCTAAGGGAGTCCTCACTCCCAGCCAAAGGCCTGACCCTGTGAAGTTATGTGTCACTATCTGATCAACCTTGGCATAGAGTGTAATAATTGCCTAGGAAATTATTTCTTTAAACATCCCACTTGAGAGATAAATTTGAACAGACACCACTGGCCTTTATTCTTTTGTCCAAGCAAAGCTGCAGATTCTGGGTTCGGGATCAGAGTGGACCTAAAAGACTTGCTTACCACTCCAGCACTGGGACAAGTCAACAGCAGCAACTACAGCGCAGCCTCAGTGCTAGAGAGCCAGAGTTTCTTACTCTTCCTCCTCTGTACCTCTAGGTTTCTGAATGTTAAAGTGGAATAAACCTCCCAACAACAGTCTTTGTTAAGGCATCCTCGAAATTCCAAACTCAACAGTTTCGTTTACGTTTCCAACAGCAGCAAAAGCAATCTATCCACAGAGAGCAAAGCCAGAGGGGGCCAATTAGGAGAAAGGGTTTTAAAGAAAAGAATAAACAGAAGGAAGAAAAGCCAAGATGAAAGGTCCAGAGGGGAGTGAGTGATATGACTGAAAAGGAAGCCCGAGAGCTGCTGACAGGTGGGCTGAGCGACGGTGGCGGCGACGGCAGCGCGTGCGGCTGGGGCTTCCCACCCACTAAGGGCAACGCAGGCCGCGGTGGCGACGCCTCGCAAGCGTGGGCAGCGGAGGAGGGAGTGGGGTGCGAGCCCGGAGCCAAGCAGCTGCGACAGGAGGCAGGCGGCGGCGGGAGCGCGGGCTCCCAGCCAGCCTGCATCCCATTGGCCCTTGGGACGCGCTCGGAGCTGCTTCTCTCTTCCTGGGCGCAGAGGCTCCCCCCCCCCCCCGTTCCCTCCCCTCCATGGCTCAGTTTGGAGAAATTCCTTGCCTGCCTAGCGGGAAGAGCTAGGCTGGGCTTCAGCAGCCCTCTAGGGAGCTCTTCGTGCTGGAGACTCAGGGCCGAGACCGGGGATGAGCGGCGGAAGGCGGCGCTGCCACTGACAGGACTCGGGGCCAAGGCTACCGGCCACCGGCTACGGGATGAACCGGCTGGGTCCGATGCCTTAGCCCGGTGCACGCGCCGGGCAGAGCGAGCAGGTCGGACTGTGCTCTCTGCGGTTCACCTGCGCTGGTGTCCGGCCAGTCCCAGGATGGGCTCTGGAACCTCGGGGCCGCGCCCGCTAGAGCCCGGCGTCCCTCCCGCGTCCTGAGCTCATGTATGTAGGTGCCAGTCTGCCAGGGGTGAGGGTGCATGTTGGAGGTCCACGCCGCGGACACGGGGACGCCTCCGGAAACTATTCTATGACCCAGTCGCTGGGGAGGACCCCTTCCTACCTTCCAAGTTTTAAATATGGGGGATTCGCCCTGGGCTGAGGTCCACTGGGGTTGGCTGTGAGCCAGGGGTCAGCATGATTAGAGTCCTAATAGAGAAGGCTGAGGCGGAGGGGGGCAGACGCACTGGTGCGCACCGAGAGGGTGGGTGCTTGGACGAGGCAAATAGAGACTGGTGTGTCTATGCCCAGCGGTGTCTGGGGCTCTAGGCTCCTTTGGGCGACAGAAACTTTGAGACCCACAAAGGCTGGAAGACACCCTTCGGTAAAATAGTCTTGGCCCTACTCCTATGCCCCTGCACCTGGCACCTTCCAGGTCAATACTCCCTGGGCATGCATCACTTCTCCATCACCAAGACCCCTCCGGGTGAAAAGCTATTTCAAGACAGCGCTGTTGCGGGCGACAGCACTCACATCACCCTTCAAATCGCCTAGTGAAAACCCGGGTACAGGGGTGGGGAGTAGCAGCAAAGGATCAAAGCCTTAGGAAACCCGGACCTGGTGGATCAGGCAGAGGCCACTTAGTGTTCAGGTTAGAGAACGAGGAGTCGTGTGCTCCCAAGACCAGAGGTATCTCAGAAGTTACAAAGGCCTTGTGGGGGGTCTTCGGAATAGCAGTGGGCTGTTAGTTTGTTTTCTTTTCCCCAGCTCCCCCTTGCCCCGCCCCAGCTCCCTTTCCAAGCACAAACCCCTTGGGCAAGAGAGGACGGGTTTCTCTTTAATCTGTGCGCCCATTTGTCGGTCCCCAACTCCACTGCGGAATTCTCCATTTAGTAACCTGCAGGAAATGCGGCCAAGATTTAGGGAGGACCAACCCAGGTGCTGGAATTTGAGCTTTGAGTGCAAGCCTCGCAGCCCGCACCGGCCGGACTTGCAGCATTTTCTGGGCTCCGCAACCTGCTGGTGACCATCTTCAGCACTAATCTCCACTGCAGGAGACCCCGCGCCCGTGTTTTCCTTGGACTTTGCTTGCTATATATTCCTGCACATGTGTGATGTCTCAGAAGCCGGTTGTGTACAGACGCTGGGCAAGCTGCCCCCGCCCCCGGCGTCCTGCTCGTTAATCTAGAGCTATGCGGGAGCCCGGGCGGCGCCGGGCCGGGTGGGGGCCACGGCGGGGCCGAGGTGCGCGCGGTCCGCGGAGCTCAGTTGTGCTGCTGTTTTCTCCGCAGGGACGGCGACTCCCGGCTGGCAGCGGCGCGTCCCCGGGCTGTGAATGCGACTCGCTCATTCTCCGCGCTCCCCGCCCGCCCGCCCGCCGGGACGTGGTAGGGGATGCCTAGCTCCTCTGCGATGGCAGTTGGCGCGCTCTCTAGTTCCCTCTTGGTCACCTGCTGCCTGATGGTGGCTTTGTGCAGTCCGAGCATCCCGCTGGAGAAGCTGGCCCAAGCTCCTGAGCAACCCGGCCAGGAGAAACGCGAGCACGCGTCTCGGGACAGCCCCGGGAGGGTGAGCGAGCTCGGGCGCGCTGCGAGGGACGAAGGCAGCAGTGCCCGGGACTGGAAGAGTAAGGGCAGTCGCGCGCTCGCAAGTCGGGAGGCGTGGAGCAAACAGAAGCAGGCCTGGACTGCCCAGGGTGGGAGTGTCAAGGCCGCGGACTGGCAAGTCCGGCCTCGGGGGGACACCCCGCAGGGGGAGCCCCCGGCCGCCGCCCAGGAAGCGATCAGCCTAGAACTCGTGCCCACACCAGAGCTGCCTGAGGAATACGCTTACCCAGACTACCGGGGCAAAGGCTGCGTGGACGAGAGTGGCTTCGTGTATGCGATCGGGGAGAAGTTCGCCCCAGGTCCCTCAGCCTGCCCGTGTCTGTGTACGGAAGAGGGACCCCTTTGCGCGCAGCCAGAGTGCCCGCGGCTTCACCCACGCTGCGTCCACGTCGACACTAGCCAGTGCTGTCCGCAATGCAAGGAGAGGAAGAACTACTGCGAGTTCCGGGGCAAGACCTACCAGACTTTGGAGGAGTTCGTGGTAAGAATCAAGCACCTGCAGGCCACTTGGCACTTTCCAGGAAGGGACAGAATGGCTTTGGTTCTGTGACACCCTCCCCGCTCTCCTCCCCCCTCCTCCGACACACACACACTTTGAAAGGAAGGCTCTCTCTGGTTCTCTGAGGTGGGGAGCGGTGGTTTGGGCACCCATTTAAGACGCCCTCTTTTCAGTGCTGGGGTGGTCCTTGTAAGACTAGTGTGGCCAGTCCTTATTGATTGATCTGGTATTTGCTGTAAAGGGGTTTTATTAGGCTGGAGCCCTGATACCAGGGGAACAGCTGCAAGTTATTGGCTATACTGTCAACACGAATTCATTGCTCCTAATTTAGAAGTGAAGTGCTCAACCTGTTTTCAAACACAGTGTAATTTACCCTGCCACTTGGGACATAGTCTTTAGCAACTGGCTAATTAAGAAAGACCATCCATATACATAAGCCATTCTCCCAGATCAGGTGGTCAGTCCAACAAGTAAATGTCTTAAATATCATAAGAAAACATTTTTTTTCTTTTTTGCTTACTAGTTGTCAAAACATGATGGAAAGCAACATTGAGAAGCCCAGTTTCTGGTTTAAAGTGTTCTAATCGGAGAGGAATACAGGGAATTCTACTTCTCTTGATGCTCTCTATTGGGTCCCAGGCTAGGGCTCTCAAGTGCAGTTATTTAGTGGGATTGTACATCCTGCTGGGAGATAGGTAACCTATCTCTGTTTTTTGAAGAAGAAACTGAGACAGAGAATGTCTAAATAATGAGCTGAAGATAGGGAAGCTAACAACACGCATATTTTTGTACCAAACTAAGCAATTCTACCTATAGTTTATGCTTTAAGCCCCTCAGACTCCACTTGAACTCCAGCCCAAGCCCACTGGAACTTAGGTTTGCTTTGAGGTTCTGCCCAGCAAGCATGTCCTGGGCGTGGTGCCTGCTTCTGGGTTAGGAACCTTGAAATGTACTTCTGTCTGCATTTGCAAACAACCCAACCTGGGTTTCACCTATTGTCTGACCCTGGCCCTTGACTTAATTAACAAGCCAAAGGCAATCCCCCCTCCCCCCCATCCCCGCCAGCGGAGGGCATCCTGAAGTTGCAAATCCTAAAGCAGAGGTTGGAAGACAGGAAGGAAGCCTTTTGTAATTGTAATCCCCTGGAAATTTGTGGATTCCTGTGAAAGGCACGTTGGTGAATGGGGTGGATTGCAGCTTGTGGAGAATAGTGGTGTGCAAAGCCAGGAAGAACTGATCTACAGATAGTGTGTAAACTGTGTAACCAGCGTTGTGATTCAGTCAGGAAACATGGGTTTCCATTTGGACTTGGCTACTGTTCAAGTGCATGACTAAAACAAGTAATGCATGTGTCCTCTTTGGATTTTATTTTTGTTCTCAGTGAGATTAGCGATCTACTATCTTCAAGGCTCATGGTCAGGATGTATCTTCGAATGTACCATATTCTTTAGCTTCAGCCCTTTAGGGAACTTTAATGAAAATGCCATAGGACCCAAACTCAGAAGATATGTTGTGGAATCAAGAACACTATCCTCAAAATACCCTCCTGTGCACTGGGGAGTCTGCCAGACAGCTCCCCAGATGTGTTGGGTTCCTAGCACAATTCTCTTAAGTGGTTTGGGTACATAAGATAATCAGGGTCTTATAAAGTCAAAGACAAACAGTTGTTTTTAAATTAATAACATTTGTTGCTTGTTCTGTTTATAGAGCTCCATGGCACTTTAGACAAGCTTTGTGAGGTTAGCTGAGGAATTATTTTACCACAAAAATAGAACTGAGACACTTCCCAGAGGAGCCATCCCTGCACCTGAAATCACAAATACAGAAGAACCCAAACTTCTGTTGTCATAATTCATTGCCAAAAACTAGAAGCAAGGGAGCTGTCTTTTCCTTTGGAGAAGGGCAACCTCTTGTTTGATTTCTGCCTGCAATACCTGGCATTAGATAGAGAGAATGTGTTTTCAAATTCTGGGAGAGGGGGTGATAGTGACAAAAGAAACAGGAAACATTAAGGTATTCATGTCTTCCTTATTCAAATAACTCTTCATGCTTTCTCCATCTCTCTGTATGCCCCCTCCCTCCTCCTGTGTGTGTGTGTGTGTGTGTGTGTGTGTGTGTGTGTGTGTGTGCGCGCGCGCATGCGTGCATTCTCTCTCTCTCATGTGTGAATATATACATGCACAGAACCAGAGGTCAATATGTAGTGTCTTCCTCAGTTTCCAGATTGTTTTTGAGAAAGGGTCTCTCACTGACCCTGAAGCTTATTGATTTATATAGACTGATTGGCCATGTCTAGAGACCCTCTTGACTCCAGTCTGTCCAACGCATGAGGGGTACTGGGATATGCCACAGTACCCGGCTTTTATGTAGGTGCTGGTAATACAAACTCTGGTCCTCATACTTGCGCAGCAAACTGACTGAGGCATGTCCAGCCTGACTTTTCATTCTTAACTCCCAGGCATTCTTTACACATGCTAGGATGTCACATGTTTGGATATTGCCAAGTGTCATAACTTTATGTGTTTTCTCTTATGGAGTTTGTATAAAGATTTTATTCTGTGAGCCATCCTTGTTCCTTAATTTTGTTATCAAGTAAATTTCTAGTTATTTGTCTTATTTGGTATGGCTAATAGAAGTCATCTGTGCCAGTGACTATTGTTTTCCCACACTACACAAGGACCCAACACTTGGGTCGGGTAGGGGGTCTTCAAAGGATCAGAAAGGAAGAGTGCAGGCGGTTCAAGTCTGTGGAGATTGTGGGTGGCAGTGATGGATATTTACTTTGCAAATGGCCTCCTCATACTTGCTTTGAGTATTCAAAGAGAGATGTTATCTGTCCCTCAGTCTATTGTGTGACATAGGAGAGGGATCTTCAGAACTGTGAGCTTGAGGTAGTTATGAGGAGAAGGACTTTCTTGCCTGAGGAGATATGGAGCTCAGCCACAGGCTGGTCTCTGCTTCCTGACAGAGGAAATTGCTAGCCCTGCTTGGTGAATACTTGAAGTGAGCAGCAGATGAAGCTCTGGGGCTGCCAGCTGCCAGCAGGTGCCTGTAGTGTGTGGGGCATTTAGTTCCAGTAAGCAACTAGCACCTTCTTGGTTGGTTTCTGTGCTTCCCTGTCCTTGGGTACATGTTACCCACCCCCTCTACTCCCTTTTCTCTCCTTTCTGGATACTTTAACCCTTATCAAAACCCCTGATATTTATGGCTGCATATCTGTAGAAGACTTTATTAGTCAGCAAAATATCACAAAGATGATATTGGTGACAAGGATGATGGCCACGCATTTCCAGGTGGCTTTAATCCCATTTGATTCCTGAATAGGGTGGGGGTTAGTAGTAGAATGCTTTCCATTGCCTCTTGAGTTATATATCAAGTGTCTTCTTCAGCTTATGGCAGCAACAGACATCCAAGATTAGAACAAGTTCTGTCTGCTTTGTGCTTCCTAGGAATATTAGTCGGTTGGGATTGTCATAACAAGTACCAAATTAAAAAACAAAACAAAAAAAAAATGGAAAGGTGCTAAGACATAGAAATGTATTACTTTATGGTCTTAGAGGCTAGAAATTTGAGATCAAGGCATATACAGGGTCGATTCCATCTAGGCTGTTTCCTTAGCTTGTAAAGGTCAGTCTTCTCTGTCTTTATTTGCTTTTTTTCTTCTAGATGTTTATGTTCAAAGTTTCTTGTTTTCTTTTCTTCCTTAGTAGATATGATTGTTATTGTGGGGATTGAATCTGTGGCTTTCCACATGATTGACAAACATGTGGAAAACTAAACCTTAAGCCCAAAATTTCTTGCCAGGGTACCAGTATAGTTGGAGTTATTCCAGTGACTGCATTTTAACTCAGTTTCCTCTCTCAAAGGCTAGGTATCCAAATACAGTCAGATTATTAAGTATGAAGGTTGGGACTTAACTATAAATTAGAATACAGTTCAGTCTTGAGTGTCAGTGACCAGAGTTGACCTTGTGGCAATGAGATTAAGAGACAAACAAGACAAGTGGAGTAAAGAGGGAGATATTTACATGAAGTAAGGAAATGTTTATAAAGAAGTCATAGTGGAAAATAATAACTTCAGGCCAACTAACATCAGTTTGACCCAGTATCAGTTCCATTGTGTGAGTCCCACTTTTGGAGTTTTTATGTTGCTTCTGTGGCTGCACGCTCAAGTCACCAATAGCTAGAAGGTGACTCTGTCACTCTGTTAAGTTTTAAACTTGCCCCCCATGATGATTTCTATTGGTTGAAGAAGCTGACTGAATTTGTAATTCATAAACAAGAAATAATTTTATTTTGACCTATACAAAATTGTTCTCATTGTGGGAAATCTGGTTCTGGGGTTTTCACCAAGGCCTAAATGGGAGTCTTGTAGCCTTGTTCAGGGTGGAACTCATGTGGTTCTCTGAAGTAAGACTGTATCGGATAGCTAACCTTACATGTTTCTTTGCTTCTAGTTGGATAGTATCAATTCAAAGTGTTAGTGCTGTTATCACAGCAATCAGAAGCTCAAATGGCAATTACTATGTCTTAGGGAAAAATATGAATTATTAGTGGAAACTGCTTTGATGGACCACCTGTCAGTGCTTAAGAACTATTGAAAAAGAAAGAACTGTGAGGTGTCTGCAGACAAATTAGATGGGGGTTAAAAAGTAAAAGCAAATGTGTTTTCTCCCCATCTTTCTATTCCTCTCCCTCTCCCTCTCTCTCTCTGAAAGATTGACTGTATGGCTTGCTATTAACTGCATCACAAAATTCTCATTTCTAGAATTTCATCAATGAGAAGAATATTTTCACATGAAAATTGGGACAAAAAAGTCTTTTGCAATTTTGGATACATGCCAGTAAAACAAAATCAATCATATTTTCAGTCTAATGGTGTTTATATTCTTCTGGCTGATATTGCCTAGCCAAAACAATGCTATTACTATCTACTCTCACTGAGCAAGTAGAATTTTGTGTATGGCAATGAGAATGCATTTA